TTGTGTATTTGTTTTCGGTAAGATTTGCTTTTCCGGACCACGCAGTTTTTATGCGATCTATTTGGAGTTTTTGACCACCGGCCGACCTGTACATTCAAATACCCACGTGCTTTGACTCTATTTCCATATACTATCAACTACAAATATATTGATTGATAAAATTTGTATATTACAAAAACGATATTTAAACAGTTATCAAAAACATTTAGCTTTGAGTATGTACAGTACATGTTTTTTTTTGCACTATTCTACAACTATTTATCGTTCTGTTTACAACTAAAACATTTGTACCATACAGATCACCAACCAGATTAAATTTGTACCACTAATAGTCTAATAGCAAAGCAGGTTTCTTTTTCTTGGTTTAATCATTGACTAAAGTTGTTATTTTATATGTGACGATATTATTGAGCTTGTTGCTCTATTTTTCAATATTTTTAGATTTGATTCCTTTTGTATAATATACTGAAATGTGTAAAGCCATTTTCTTATACAAATACGCACGTGTCTAAATTCGTATTAGGAAATTTGGCTCGATGACGATGCTTAAGTTTTGTATACGAAAGTAATGTTGTTTAAGTGGTCACGAACGTTCGTGTAGTGCGCATTATTGTGTTCTGACAAAAAGTATCTCTTTTAAAAATTTGACATGATAACTTGTTGTAAGCATTTATCAGTTTCATATATTTTCGTTGAAAAATGCTTGGAATTGTGTATCGAAAACCGATCGTATAAGATATAGTATTAATCTGTTGGAAAAAAATATTAATCCCGAGAAGTTTACACGAGGAAGCCAAGCATGGTAAACATGAATACTGACAAGTCTTAATTAATTACTATTATAGCCAAAAAAAGTCTTGATTAATTACGATCTAACTAGGCCATGGACATACATTTCCTTTATATAAATTGGTAACATTGGCCTATGGCCTTTTTTAGATGATAATTTAAGGGGCCATCAAAAAATTATTGGGTCCATTTGTTCATTTGTTGTACTATATGAAAACGTGATATTTTAAAAACCCAATAGAGTTTGGAGGCATTTTCAAAATCTGATAACACTAGGGTTCGTTCGTGCCTGGCGAATGGGTTTATTTAAAGTAGTATTTTTTTTTTTTGCTTTCATTACGAGTGAATTAGCTAGTAAACAGTGTTAGCAACTGAAATTAAGACAACAGCAAAATTGAATTTGTAGGAAAGACGACTCGTTGACATTTATAAGATGTTATTTTGTTCAGTCAAATTAAAATGTACTTTTTTCTTCTGTTCACACACCCTCTTGAAGAATCGAATTTGACTTAAGTGCACACGAAATGGTAAACATCTCTACTAGGTCCT